TTTTTATTTATTAATTGAAGAATCAAATATAAATACTTAATTATAATACCCTCGGTATTTGGAAAATTAATAAAAAAAACATGAAAAAAATATTCTTAACTGACTCTGAGATAAAGAAAATTCATTTAATTTGATTACAGTAGTTTTTCTTGATAAGCTTATCACCATGTTTTTTATATGTACATCTATATGCAGTATCTATACGTATATACTTATACCAGTCGAAATATCACGCATGTATACATTCTTCGGGTTTTTGAAAAATGAAAATGAGTCTTTATTTTCGCTACCAGTCCTATCTCTCTCGAATTTTTTTTTTTTTTTTTTTTAATTATTAAAATTTCCGATATTTGAAAGTAGTAGCTATTAAATAGTGTTAGTCAAATATTACCCATCTAATGACGTGAATTCATGAGAAGTACTCACATATGCAAGAATTTAAATATAACTAGTGGTTGTGTATGTACACGCACTTGTTAACTTGTAGCAAAATAGAGTAGAAAAGTCTTGCGAATCCAAACCAATCAAGGTGTTTAGAAAAAAAAGACACAAATTAAAATTAAATTTTCTTATTCTTTCGTAATGATTGAGACTTTGCATGAATGGAATAATAAATATTCTGATTATTCCAAACACGCTGGAACTTGGAAATTTTGTATCAACAAAAAAATCATGGAATAGGGAGGTAATATTATGGCTTGATTTTTATCCACGATTTTTGGTGTCAAGAGTGGTAAACTCCCATCGCTTCTCAACTCCAAAAGTTTCTCGTTCAAGAAAATATTTCTGTTTTGGAGAAAAAAAAAAAAAAAAAAAAAAACCATTATAGATTAACTTATTATTTTAGTTAATTTAAACTCTTGGACAAAGTTTTCAACTTGCCTGGATTGCAAGGCGTCAGAAGTTAGAATGTACGCATGAATCGTAGATTTTTCTGGTAAATCTTGAAAATAAATACTACTTTTCTGCTCGTTTAGATTCATTCCATAAACAGCAATAGTCGGCACATCATTGACGTACAACTGTTTCACAGCACAATGAGCATAAAAGCGTAAGTTTCCAAAATTACTCGGTCCCTCCAAATTCAAAACTTTTTCAGAAACAAATCGCTTGAACAGTACGGCGATCCACCAATCAGGATTGGGACTTAAATCGGGTCCAACCATTGCATAATGACCACCAAAGAAAGATTGCCGAACCACAACATTTATGCCTGCTTTGGCAGAAACGCCAAGCTTGTCAAGCCATAAAAATCCCGCCACGTATTTGTCTGATAAATCTGGCGCTCCACTACCATAAGCAGAACCTGTTTCAGCTGCAAAAGTTAAATTCACACCATTAAATTTTGACATTGTGTACTTGAATAATTTACCAAGTTTATACATACAGAGCCACATGGGTATACCCGTGTTTAACGACTGGGTCATTACATCAATTTCTGCTGGCAACTTGTTGAAAACTTTTGAGTCTATGAAATCTTCAGCACGAGCTACATGGCCATTTAAGTAATATTGGTGCCACGAAACGTAATCAATGCTGTCGTTAATATTTTCCAAAAATGTCTCTACATATTTCACGCCCCTTTGATTTTCGTCGCCAATGTGATTTGCCTCTGGGCCGACAACTATGCTGTTTTCAAAGCCTAATTTACGAAGTATGGAGCGCAATTCCGTGTAATCTCTAGCCAGTTGCTCTGGTGGTACAGTTACGTTGAATACGTGTAAAAACGAGTTGGGCTCTAAAAAATCATTCAATTGTTTACTATTTCTCATAGTGTAAAAATGCTTTTTTTCTTATTTTCTTTGTTATCGTGTTTAAATAACGTTGTGAAGATTTAAAAATAGAATTACAAGTCGTTGGAAACATTTTCTACGTACCATTTCCCATTTGCCAATCGAGTTCCATTCCACGTCTCTTGGCAAAACGAATGATTTCTCGCGCGTTGTCGCTGTTCCACGAACCATCGGTATTTCTTAATAAAACATTCAAATCAAACATCATACTTAAATTTACTTTTTGAGTGAAGTCATACAGAGAAGCAAAGTCGTTACTCGTTATGGTGAAGTTTCTAATGTCTTCACTGTTTATTTCAACTTCTGAGATGTTTTTCTTGGCATCAGTCTATTTCAAAAACATCACATTGATTCCCACTGATTGGTAGTTAGTTAAACGTCAAATAAAAAAAAAATAAAAAAATTGGTAATAAGTTGTGATTCGTACCTCATTAAAATATAGACAATCTGCAGCAGTTCCACCAATCCTAACGTAAGCTGGACTTAGATGGTGAGCGAGATTGATGAATCTCTGATCACCAATAGGTAATTCCTTCATATTTCTTAACAAAGATGAGTCCAAGCCAAACGAAAGAAATTTTTTCGATACAGTACTTAACAAATCTTGCCTTTTTTCAAGTTTAACAATGTGCACGTCCTGCATTCGATCTATTAGCGTTACCGACTTGATAAAAATGATGACACACACATTGAAAATGACGATGGAAGACAACAGCCAAACATCTGAAATGGTTTTTAAAATATCAAAATTATTTATCACACGGAGGTTTAAAAACAAAGGGTTAATTAAAATTTTGGTATTTATAAACGTATGAAAAAAAGTGAATATATATATATATTTACTATATCCGTTATTATTTTTCATATTTTTCTTTGACTTCTCCATGATACTTCCGTTCATCACAGTCCATGTGATATTACTGTTCGCATTCATGCCTTGCATGTATACCCTTACTATAGCTGTCTCTCCATCGTAACATAATATATTTTGTGCGCTTTTTACCGGTCCATTAAGATAATACATGGATCATTTCACGAAAATTGCAATATTATGATGTGTGTATATATATATATANTACACAATATATATAACCATTTGCTGTACGTGCAATTAACAATTTTAACTGTCAAAAATTTGTGGTCACCGCTAAAAATATCGCTAGCTATTCCAAATTTGTTATTGATCTCTCTGGAATAGAATAAAATGCCTTTTAATATACGCATGATAAATACTAGAGCGTAAAAAATTTAAGAAATAAATTTACCCCATGCATACAATTTTCAAAATAGGTATGATGTTTTATTATGTTTTTTCATCTTATATCGACGCAATAAATAATTATTTTAAAAAATAATAGGAATTTGTTCTTTCAATGGGTTAAAACGTTTTATGTTTGGATGTGATGTATATAGAGAATTCCACGAAACTTTTTTAATAACTTCAAATTTCAAATTATAATTTCCTTTTTCTTTTAGTTTATCAAGTCAATTTTTTTCATAAGTCCCACAGCTTTCAAATTAACAATTAGAAAAGTTTGAAAAATTTTAGTTTGCAAGTATTTGCAACTTTTTAATTCCAGCTTATTGTATACTTGCCTATTTCATACATTAAAAATTTGTTTACACTCCATTAACTTTGCGAAGTTAAAAGCGTGGTAAGTATGTTCATTGTATGGGTAATGTAGGCACAATTGTTGAAAAAAATCAAGGGCCGCTATTCATTTGAATCGATTCAGAAAATCCATCTACGATTCAGGCATCGAGTTGGTTTATTGTTCTAAGCCAATTATTAACCGAAAGTATAGGTTCCGTTACCATACTTTAACACTACCATCTTTTATGCGTAAATCAGATATTTAATGACGCAAACAGGAATCAAACGCAGAGAAAATTTAATTCATCATGAACGCGATTCATTATCTCTTAAGAAATTTTTCAATCAAAACTTTTCTATGTTGATTTATTTATTTTTTTTTTTTTTTTTGAGTGAATCAAAAAATTGTAAATCAAGACCTTCCAGTTTCAACGGCTGAATTTAATAATTGATCAATTCAATAAATCAATAAATTCGGTTGTAATAATACACTTTCTCTCCGATTCACATGTCAGGAGGAATTAGTTTTGATTTCAATTTTTTGTTTATTTAAAAGATTCTTTATCATCAATTAAAAATGTATGTGTAAAATATTTCAATAGTGGGAGTAAATTTGGACAACTCCGTTTATATTATGGGTATACTTACTTTACGGTTTTCTTCCAAAGTAGCGCTGATACTTACCAAGCAATTTTACTATAAATCTTCTTAAAATTACATGTAATTAATAAATAAATTAACTAAAAAAAATTAATTTTTCAACAGATCATCGCTGTAACCGATTTTTTCGTAGATCGCTCATCCCTATGACAATGATACAATGTAAATAAAAATATTAGCTCCTCTACTTTATTCTCTGTAAATACCTTACTTTCATTATTTTTAGATATGAACTAAAAAAAACTCTACAGTAGGAGAATTGAAGAACATTTGACTTGTGGCGTATAAAATAAAATAAAATAAAATGAAGGGTTGACCGTATATATAATGGAAAATTCATCACAGGCAGGGATTAAATCATACACATGTAAAATTTACTCGCTAAATATTTTTCCATTCAATCATCAGTACAAATAATTGACTTCTACGTGCTGCAAAACTTTTCGCTTGACTCTGCGTCGACGAAGATTGGTAAAGTTAACTGTCGTGTACATTTACTTATGAAGGGATTGTTTTACTATATTTCCATCGTTTTTTGAGACTACATGTTTTCAATAAGGCACGATATTTAAATTATGGATTTTACAGGCCAAAAGCGAATTCTTGTCCTTTATCAGGGTGTGATAAAACTTTTCATTTTTTTTTCTTTTATTTCAACGACAAACATTTGAAATGCCAAGCTTTTCCAAATAAGTATGTAAGAATTAACTACTAATTAATTCGTTGCTATTATCACTAGTGCCATTTGTGTGTTATACATTTATAAATGCATCAAGGCTGGTGTTTATAAACATGGATTTAAGCCAATGCGGCTGACTGAGCTAGGGATACAGTACCGGTTCATCTTGTGTGTGAAAAATGTGATTTGAGACTATAGAAATTAGTCACTGATTTACTTTGTGATAAAAAAAGAATACGTTATTTTATTTTACAATAACTTACAACACTCGTGACGTAATTTTTATCAAATTGCTGTTTAATATACTTATCTATAAGTAAATTTATATTATTGATTAAACTTTTGTAAAAAATTACATTCAACGATGGAATTTGAAATGATGAAAAAAAATATAAACATAAAATGAACAGTATTTCAAAAACATTTTACTCAAGTAAATAGCGACAAGATCGTACTCCACATATCATTTCAAAAACTGTAGTGTGTATAGAAGCTTAAATATTCAAGGAACACGTACAAAATGATTCTGTAAATGGCAACTATAGCATCGACGAAAATATCGACTTTTTGTAATTTTGTAATTTTTTGTAGGGCGAGTTTCGGATAAAAATGTTAAAACCAGCCTTCATCTTATACATTGTGCGGTCTGATGAAATAATAGGAGTGAAAAGTGTGCACATATCAATCAATGAGTCAAGATGAAAAAAGAAAACTTGGAAGAGGAGTGGAATCTACAAGAATCCAAGAAATCAGGTGTGAAGAAGTTCATAAACAAAGTCGAAATGTTTTCGGTGAGATATTTCGGTGCCAGTCAAGGTAGGTGTCACCAACATACTTTTTAACGACAAGGTTCTGCATATCATTCCACACAGAATGGATCGCTGTTGTGTAACAAGTTTTTATCAGAACTTGATCGAAAAATCTGTTCGCCTGCAATTTTCCTGATGCATCAAAAGACATTGGCACCCTGTAAACTTTGCAAATAGTCACCAGTACCAATCTTGATCAGGGTATGTACATCAGCGTCGATGAGTCAAGACGCCAACACTTGGCAAAAGAGAAACTTGAACGGTGTTCCTTTACCACTTGATATTCGACAACGTTGGTAACGTAAGTATTTTTTAAGTAATATTATCGTGCATATATATTGTGATGGCACAATCTTTAATGTGTATAGACGCAACTTTTAACAAAATATTTTTTAGCCATAATCATACAAATCTGATTATCAAAAGTGGTACTACTAGCATTTAATAGCATAGACTCTGGCGAAAGCCGAGTTGGTCAGTGAGGAGAACGCAAGATTTATCACTCGGAAAACGTCGCAAAAGGTTGTATTATCAGTGTAACTGTTGCGCATTATCAAAGCTTGAATAATGGTTATAATATTATTTCTTTCTTATGACGATTTATATTTGATTATAAGAAGCAAAAAGCTAGACCATTTTCTTTATCACTAATATTTACACGATTGAGACTATTGAGAGACGACAAAATATTTAAATCAATGTAAGAGAAAAAATAGCACATAAATTTATAAGTTGCAATGCATTTCATCGCATAACTTTTAAATCTAATATCAGATGACAAAAGTTCTTATACATAACTCTTGTAAGAGTTTAAAAAATATCAACATCGATTCCTTCCACATAAATAGAATAAAGTATAAATTGTGAATATCGAATTAAGTTGTTCGAGAATCGACGAACTTAGCACTTATTAATTGTTGGCTCGTAATACTTTGATTCGATACATAGTCACAGACGAGAGTTAAAAAAAGAGGTGACACTCTTTCACTTCACTGCAGTAAGATGACGTTCTTAAACGAACGTATAATAGAAACATTTAAAAGAACACTTAATCTGTGATTGAAATCTGAGCAAATCCAATCAACGCTTTGTCATCCGGCATTTCATTTGCTGCGTGTCCTGAATTCTAAAAAAAAATATAAAAGTAAATATTTTTTCAAAACTTTGATTTTATTGTGTGACTTACCAGTGGGAATGTAACTGTTCGTATTTGTCCCGCACTGTTGATCAATTTTTGGAGATTAGCCGCAATCACAACAATGTCCTTGCCATCAACAAGACCAGCACCAACTAGTTCAGATGCTATACCTTCAGCTGAATCAACAGACTCGGCGAACTCAAATCTGATGTCATTGAGCTCACGTTTCTGATTACTGAAAACGAAATAATTTGTTGATCACGTATGTAAGACATAGTTATTAATCAGTGGTAGCTAAATCAATACCGAAGTCTGAGGACTAAGTTCATAGGAACATTTTTGTCAACTGGTATGCGACTGGTTGCATTTTTATTATCATAATAATCGTCATCTTGGCCCTCATCATCACTACTATCACGTTCGATTCTATTGATGGGCAGAGCTTCTTTGCCTTCTTCACCACTAGAAGCACCGCTTTCTTCTTCTGATGACCAAACCCATTCACCCGTTACTGTTCGATGCAGTCGTCCAGAGGTCCCAGGTTGTCTTTTTGAAGCCTTTTATTTTATAAATTAGTTTATTTTTTACTATTTATTCATCTTCAAAAAACAATCCAGAAAATTTCAACTACCTTTTGAACTCGCGTTTCTAAACTAGGTCCAATGGCTACGAGTGTTTGTTGCAAATACTTCTTGTCTTTTGCTTTCTTAAAGAACGGATGCTTTAAAAGTTCAGTCGCTGTTGGTCTATAATACAATGTTATTTTATATGAGACCCAGTGGAAAATTAAATTAAAAAATAATTTTAAAATGTATCACTAAGACAAGAAACCTTTTCGTTGGGTCTTTCTGCAAGCAATCAACGATCATTTTTCTGAAGGTCTTGCCATATGCCTTGTATTGATCTTTATCGTCGGCAGCAGTGTCTAGAGTGGGTGGGTCATTTTGAAGTGTGAGCATAAGCACTTTCATAGGTGGAAACTTGTGGTATGGAGCCGTTCCACTAGCCATCTCTATGGCAGTGATACCCAATGACCAAATGTCAGCTTTGAAGTCGTAACCATGATCCTGTAGGTGAAAAAAATTTTTTCAAAGTTATTTCCAATTTGTTCAATGATGCAATTTTTGATACATGTAATGAAGTCAAGTGAAAAAGCAACATACAAATCTACTACTTTAGATCCACAAGAATATTTTCACATTTTCATTAGCCTTTTATTGCACCTTACAACGCATACATAGAAGAACATACAGAAACTACGTAAAAATTGTACATTTAAATAAAAAGCTGTTCATATTGAAGCAATCGTTCGTGAAAAAAGGTTTTCGTGCTTGATAAAATACATATCCAAAGCTGTCTTGCCAATGCCTTAGCGAACGAAAAATAAAATGAAATTTCATAATGCATTGACAAAAAATTAATTGAGAAAGAAACAACAAATTCTACATCAAGCAAATCGTAAAAAAAGAAAAAAAAAGTAACATTTACGTTTAATCATGCACAATAGTTAACATCAAGACTCTAAGACCAAAGCTAAATAATAAAAAAAAAAACTAATAAACTCGATTACCAATATTTATAACAAGACAATCAACACATATATAAAATAACATAGATAGAAAAACGTATTGTAAATTGAAAAACGTACGGTACGCACAGGCTAAGAAACTGGAATGTAACTTTCCTCTCTCACCTGCTCCATGACCTCAGGCGCCATCCAGCAAGGCGTACCGACGAATGTGTGCCGAACCTTTTGCCTACTGAGGTCACGTCCAGTTGCCAACCACGCACTCACTCCAAAGTCAGCGATCTGTACCGTCCCATCTTCTCCAAGTAATATGTTTCCTGCTTTGATATCCCTGTATAGAAATCGCACTGGATTTGAAATTACTCTAAACGATACTTTGTCAACTATAAATTTTATATTCAATCGGTATAGACCTGTGTATCTGGCCATTACTGTGGAAATACTCAAGACCTTTGAGTACTTCTCGAAGTACAGTTGCTATTGTTGCTTCGTCAAAAACACCGTGCTTACAATTCGTTGTTCTCATTTTATGTTTGATGATATCCAGTAGAGATCCACCTTCAAGTAATCTCAGTACAAGCCACAGTTCCTCTTTTACAACAAATGATGTGTAATAAGTTACGACGTTTTCGTGATTGCAGGATGACATTGCCTGGATCTCTTTCTGTAAAGTAATTAAAAATATGATTAACAGTTTTGTTACACAATAATGTAGGATTCAAGAAACTTACCAATAACTCGTCCATGCTTGTGTTCCATTTTTCTAAGTTGATTCTTTTTATAGCACATTTTTCGTTCCTGGGTATACAATATGCAGCATGAACTATTGCTGTTGCTCCAACACCTGCAGTAATCAAATTTTTTTTTATCACACAGTTGATAATTAACACTTGAAATATTAAAAAAAAAGTAGCATCATAAGTTCACTGCCCTCAATGTCAGGAAATAACATTAGTTCAATAAACTTGGTAATTTTCCTTCAACGTTTTCGCAAGAATCTCGCGTGCGTTTAAACTTTTTATATAACAAATGACGTTACAGAGACACTTACTAGATCAACCTGCACAAGAGATTTTCACAGCTGATTAGGATATGAAATTTCATCATTTATAAATAGAATAGAATTCGATTAACTAGATAAATTATCAAGTCATGCTGAGCAAGAAAATGTTCTACTTTTCTTTGCTAAGTAATATATGTTAATATAATTTATTAAACTACGATTAATCTTGATTAAGCTGTATTTACACTTGCATGTTTTTGAAAAGAATAACCTCATACTCTGTAAGTATCTGTGTGTTTGAAAACATTATTTTCCAACTTAATTTTTTTCAAATGAAATATTTATTTGAAATAATCAGCTATGAATGTTTATGTATCTTCAAGAGTAATTCATTTGATTACAGGTTTCACGTATTTGTACTAGACTAGTATGTTTGGTTATAGTTTAAGGCAATATAAAATTATAACGAAAGTTTCAGTTTTAACTCACGTATTAACAAAATAAATAATGGATAAAAAAAAAAAGAAAAACAATCAGTTCTAGTCCAATGTCACGTCACAACATACATTGTCACTCTGCACTGCAACAATGACTTTAAAAACTTGCAAGTAATTATTTATCGTACGAGGCTAAGTTGGATCCAATGCTTACACTTTGAGGGAACGTCACAGAAAATTCAAATGGACAATACTTATTGGGGAAAAAAATAATTCGAGACACCCCCCACAACAATAAACAAGTGGAAAAGCTCCAGAAGCCCGACGGAGCGTTCACCAGCTCCAGTCACACACGCGGCCGCACGTATTGACGCACTCACATAAGTAAACATGGGCATACACACACAAGTTGCCATGGAAAACCGGCGAGCGCGTGCATCCGCGCGCACATACATCAACACTTTTCTCCCCAAGTGTCACACAGGGGGGGGGGTGGGGGAAAAGCCCCACTCAACTTGGCCAAGCCGTAAGACTTTACCCGCTCGACGCATCAACTCACCGATCACGTCTCGCAGCTCGTAATCGTCCTTGGAGTTCGGCCAGCCTTGAAGCACCGGTGGCTGGGCCGTCGACGACGTCGTCATCGTCGCGCTACCTGCACTGCTGCTGCTCGTCGCGGCCGCCATTTTGCTGGCCAATGCGAAACGCGAACGCCGGCCGAAGCTGCCTTGCCGAAGCTGCTGCTGCTGCTGCGTCGACGTAGTCGACGAAGAGGACGAGGCGCTGCTGCCGCCGCCGCTTGTAATGCCACCGCTACTGCTACGCGACGAGTGCTGCTGTGGCTGCTGCTTCTGCAATGTTTCGATCAAAAGGGCCCTTTTTTATAATACAATCTTTCCGATTTGGGTACACGTGCTGTAGGAACAAACGATGGCTCAATTGTATTCCGTACATGAAATAAGATGAGACCAAGCGCTTGACGAATGATTTTTTGCTTCCCGATAAATTTTGTGGCGACAAGTTTCAAAGCTCGTTAAAAGCTCGCGAGCTTCTACAGGCCAAGGTTAATAGGTGATAAATTTAGACGCGGAATCGCTTGCAATTAGGAGGCTTCTTCGCACATTAATCGTTATGGTTTTTCTTTGTTGCGTTTCAAACGCTTTCGAGAATCCATTAGGTGGTTTTGCTTTCCGTAACGAGAATCAAGCGATGATTCACGGACGTTCAAATTTGATCAAAAAAAAAAGAAGAAGAAAAGCAAGATATGGACCGATGCGAGTAAATTTTAGTTGGAAATTTAATGATACGCCACGGACAGTAGTAGGTATGTATGTTAACGAGCGAAAGGGAGAGATAAATGAACGCCAGGCGCCAAGTTACGTAAATGGTCTTTGGCTATATATTTTGTAATCGGCGCAAACGGAGTAAAACCGGCGGCAACGCGCACACAAAACACAAGCGCTCTTTTTTCGATAAGCCTCTGTCAGCGTATATAGTACACACGTTCGCTTGGGTGCTGTACAGAGAGATGTTTTTCCACAGCCGCGAAAATTGAAACCGTGCGTGTACGAGAGAAAGACGATCGGATGGTCTCTCACCGACGAGTGCCGATCCGAGGTGGATCTGCGCACGGCCTTGACCCCGGGCAGATTGTTATCGGCCAAGAGCGCGGCCAAGGATGTTTTTAAGGTACTCTTGGACGCGGCGAGGAGCTGCTGCGTCGTTTTGCGTCCCGTCGTCGACTGGTGCTTCGACGTCGCACTGTTGGGACCCGGAGAAATCGGCAAACTGGTCGTCGCCGTCGAGAGAGACGCGCGCTGGCGGAACACGCCCTGCGAGCAGGAGGGCAGGATGTCCGGGGAGACTTTTCTGGAAGAGAAAACAAATTTCAACCAAATGTACATACATACGACATTATCCAACGAATCAAATCGGTAAGAAAAAAGTAGTTGCCATTTGAATGCATTTTTAGATCCCAACATCGGTATAATTTTCTCTTATCGCACGCGTTATCTCCGTCCGATCGCAGATTAATATCTATAATTCGTGACCTGTATATTGTATTATATGCACATTGTATGCATGATGCAATGCACGGAACCGGCCTTACAGATCCGATAAGATTACACGGATGTTATAAAAAGCTGATGCAACGCAAGAAGAGCTGATGCTTTTGATAAAATCGTGACTGGTGTAATAACAGAAAAAATATGTATACATGTACATGTACACGATGTATTGTCAGGCGTAGGTCTAGGATTAAACCGATACATCCTCGGCAGCTGAACAAACAGAGCGTCACTAATTCACCGTAACAGTTTCCTATTGCGCATTGAAAAAATAAAAAGCTTCGAACAATGGATGAACAAAATCAAACACGAACACATGCACGCACGTTTTACCGCAAGTACCAATAAATACACAATATTACGTACGTTACAGAAAATATAATTTTTTTTGTTCCTTGGTTTGGATAATTTACTGTCTTGGGGTGTTGTATCGCGTGGCTTTTAGTTTCAACACTGCAGTGATCTTGCCAAGACCGCAGGAACGCGCGCGTGGATCATAACGAGTCGATGTCCGCCGCCTTTCGAGAAGGTTTTATGAATTAACGAGCAGCACGTGAGGAGAGCTGCTACGTATATATTGCACCATGGAGATGCGTGACAAAATAATCAAGATCAATCGACCATTAAAAAAAAAAAAAAAAAAAAAAAAAAGAGTGTTTGTTTAATAAGTTACGTGGCGCGGGAGGAGGGGGTACAATTGAAGAAGCGATGGCGTGTCACGCGCGCAAATGTATCGTGTGCCATGGGTTTCGACAGCTTTGGGAGAAAACAAAATTGTTGGAACGCGCGGGTTGATTAGCTCGATTTATCTAGGTGTGGACTTGATTTGTCAGCTGATGGGACGAGTTTATAAAAAGGCTTGGGTTGAAAAAATAATTTTAAATAAGGTTTGTACGCAGAGTATCTCAAAAGAAAAGAAAAAATCCCCCAACCGAGAGTCGTATGAAATCAAAAAATGATTCGTTTGCTGACACACCTTCGGGGTGACGATTTTTATCTGCCTTTGAAAATATACGGGGAAACTTCTAAATACGTATTTTGTTTATTTTTAATTTTTTTAAATACATTTCGAGCTAATAGAGGACTTTTTGAAATTAATCATTGAAAAATTCCCCCAAAACAATTCCTAATTATCTTTGAAGCTCCAAAAACACGAAAAAATCGGGCGACACCGAAATATTGTTTTGAAAATGCCCCCAATCCGTTTAATCATCCTCACAAATTTTCTCACAACCTTGAAGATAATGCGCATACAGATGATAAAACTCAGACTCGAGTTTATTTGCGGAATCGCTTATTTATACATCAGTCGAGAATCAAATGTGAAAGCAATTATCGCAGTTGAAATTCCAGAATAAGCCTCGATTGATTGCGTATTAATTACATGTATACCCAAAGCCTGCTGTATATATATCGTACCTCTCGCGTCGTTCTCTACATACTGCAGTCACACACCTGTCGAATGTCGTCACGTCTACACCTGCGTACGCGAGCTTGCAAGCTTTTTTTCATCAGCGCTACGTTAATCCTCAAACGAGAGAGCAGGTCTATCTGTATCGTACCATTGGCGCAATGTTCTTGTGAATCAAAAATCCTCCATCGATACATCGAAACGTTGAAAAAAGATTTAGAGAAATCCAATCAAGCTGTCACGCGCAAACAAAAAAAAAGAACCCAGAGATAATCACGATGAGAGCGCGTCCTCGTGTTTTGTTTGCCCAAGGATTTTCGGACTCGTGGATGCGTCCTGCGCCAAAAGGATGAAAAAGCCGCGGCGCGCGTCGCTCGTGGATACTAGGTGTGTCGTATACCCCCACGTATAAAAGGGACGTATAGGCGCGCAGTTGTTGGACGTTGACGAAAGTGGTGTGACTTTTGGAGAGAAAGAACTGTGTGTGTGTGTTTTTTTTTTTCCAAACGCGAACTGTGGGAGAAGAGAAAAAAGAGAAGGTGAAATTTCCTTTTGGCCAACGCAATACGTTCAAGGTGATGCGGCGCGCTTGCGGGATTTTCATCGTAAGTCCATCACTGGCAACCAAAACGATCTCCTTTTCTTTAACCGATTTAATCTCCAAATAAGCTCCTTGTTTTTTTTTTTTTTTTTACGAGTAATCGTCGAAACTCCTGGGGGGATAACAAGGGGATCATATAAATGTTGGTTTTACCTTACTCTTGGAACAATCCTATCCAGGGGCCAAATATTGTGCGTACAGTCACTGAGATAACACCAAAAGATCGACGACGAACGAAAAAACACAGTCGCGGCGACGGTGACGAGATACAAACTCGCGGCTCGAGATCAGCTAAGAAGCGCGCACGTGTCCCCAACGCAATGCGGACTCGGGAGAATGAGCATAAGAGTAAACGAATACAAGAGAGGGAGAGAAAAAGCGCGGCGTCGCGGACGCGATGTTGTATACGCATACGTAAGTAGATATATGCGTATACAGTACTTGCGTGGAGTGAGAACACGATAATGCTTCTTTTACTTGATTTTGTGTGTTGGATGTGTGTATACCTGCGATTGGGTACTGTCGCCAGTTTTTCACCGTCACTTGGCCCACGCGTCCAAATTTTTTTTCTGTCCATAAATGAGTTTTAAACGACACGTGTGCGTACGATGACGCGTAGGTTTATTTCGCAAATTGTTCGTAAGTGCGTTATTTGTGTGTTAATCAATTTTACCTCACATATAATACAATAAAAGCAAATGACGTGCGTTCGTGTCATAAAATTTTCCTACGGACACGCATGTGTGCGCGTATGTTACTTTCATATCAGTCGATGTGCGTATACATATATGATTAATACACATTCATTTACGGGAATAGATAAGAGAGAACAAACGTCACGGCTTATTATCGTTATTAAATTTGTTAGTTATCTCACATAGTATGTACGTGAGTGTATTAATACGTTTATATTCGTCACTTGTCCGTTGAAACTGAATTTCACAATTTTCGGAGTCATGGCCTTCGTGTCAACGAGTTTTTTTCCCTCCCCTACTTTCGAGGAAAATGAAAATAACTAAGAGTTGTCCATGACAAATGTTTTTATTCTCATTCGTCACGATTAGAATTGACCAAAGTTCAACTGCCTCGTTATTTTTAACAGATCGCATTTATTTCTAAGCAACAGCTTGGCCTTACTTTTAATATTTCAGCACGAAAAAGGTGAAACTCTTGGACTCTCTACGGTATAAACTCGATAAATAATTTCACGGAAATTTGGACCACGATCACGTGGAGATCTGCTGTCTAGACAAGAGTACTTCGTTGTAATTATAGAGTTTCCATTTGTTCGGCACTTTTTTCCCGTCACGCCAATTAAACATAGAGAAGCTTCTCGTTTTAAGTTCAAAGCAAACAACCATGTTGGTTAAAAATATACGCGGCTTCGTTTCTCCGACTGTTGTTTTCAAAACCTTGGGAATCCCACCAAATTCGATTTTTCCTCGTGTACGTGTCATCTTCAATCATATCAAGTTTTGCTCTTCCCGGCACTAGAAAAAAAAAAATGAAAAATAGATTACGTCGCAAATCCCACCTGTTTCTGCCAAGAACGAGGGTCGTGAAGAACCTGTTGTCTTGGAATCGCAAGGACTGCTCCTCGTCTTGCTGCTGATGCCCGGCATGATGAGCCTCGGTGTCAGCCGCATCATTGGCTTTCCACTGGTCCCTCAAGTCGGCCCCTGCAGATCTGCAACCCAAACATACACGCGTGTAAAACCGGTCGCGCGTCGCTTTTTTTCTGTTAACTTTTAACAACATAAAAAATTACTCGTTCTTGCAAACTTGGAGCTTGGAATTTCAACGACCCGACACTTGTTAATTTATTCAGCTGACGCAGTTTTGTTATTATTTTCAACGATAAGAAATGTATGCTCAACTTTTAAAAAACGCGATGAACTGCACAGCCAATGAACGCATTGTTCGCATTGCAATTAGTGCTAAATAAATAATGAATAAACAGAATCGTAGGCACTGCGTGTGTGAATATTAAATAGTGTAGTAGTAAATAGTATATTTAACAAAAAAAAAAAAAAAAAAAAAACATTTGTATTTCCAAGCACGCAACAGATAGTTTGTATAAATACGCTTCGTACAATGTACGCACGTATGTATTTATAGCGTATAAGGGCAAATTGACGTTTCGGCCGATCGCCGTCTAAATACCTTAATTGGGTGATTGGAGAGCGGGAGATTGGACTTGGGTACATGCAAACAACGTATACACACATATAGCCAAAGTTATTTTTAGACAATGCAAAGGGACAGAGGCATCATCCTGTTGGCTAAAAATATCGCAATGATATACTCTCCCATCGGGAAGCCAAGACGAAGAGCAACTTGGCACTTGATTGATTTTTTTTTTTTCCCCTTTTCCTTTTCAAAAAAAAACCGACTCCCGAATAGGTGATAAACTCCGTCCTTTGTAGAGTAGGTTCGGAGCCGATCTAATTTTTTCGGCAAACACACACGCACATAATAACGAACCAACTCATGCATACAGGCCGGCTCGACGCTATACTTACAATTTTTTTTTTTTTTTTTTTTCTTTTTGTTGCGCGTTTCTAAAAATAAATGGACTGCAAGCTGCTTGTTTATGGATCAACGGGAGCGAGAGCTCGTATTGCGCACAGCCCATACATTTCTTGCGTTGTTACTTTTGTCGACTGTACACACAAATAAGTATACCTACGTACGAAATTCTTTATTTTCCACGAGTGAATAATCGTATTGTCCCTCAGCCTCGATTTTTACGTAAATATTATCTAAAGTAAAACGCCGAGCCAATGAAGATAAGTGTGTATAAGGTATCGGGGTATTATCAACTATACATCGTATTCGTGACTAAAAAAAAAAAAAAATTATCGCTACGATTTTCGAGCGTACGTGCATCGTATACGAGCAATATCAAGCAATAGAAGCTTTAAAAGGAAAAAAAAAAAAAAACAATTGCAACGAAGCCGATGCTCTTATTGAATTGCGAAATCAAGTGGTGGAAAATCAGAAGCGCCGAGTGCAGGGATATGATGCGCGGAGAAGTGCAGAAACGGAACTCGAGTATTTGGGTCGCGTGACGCGAGCTCGAGCCATCGCGGCTTTGATTACGGAAATGCGTGCGATGATTTTAATAAAAGCCACGGGACTCTCTAATTCACCCGAAAGTCCAGGTATCTCTTTCGTTTGTCCAGTTTAAGTCTTAGGTTTTACTACGGCGGATTTCGGATCATTAAACAATTGGCACACGTGTCAAATAACGAGTTTGTAGTATTATACATATACGGTTGATAAATTTACATGAGCACGTCAATAATTTTATGACGATTTTTATGGATTTTAGTTATCATCAATATTAAATACCAACAAAAACAAATTACCAGCAACAAAAAAAAAAAAAAAAAAGAAAGAAAAGCACACGTATCCCGTACGAATGGAAAGATTTGTATGTATACATGTATACGACGCAAAGGATAATCGGTTTGGCGTAATTCGATTGCGATAAAAGCGCGCGGCGATGTTCGACGAGCAGACGAATCGACGTTTATTAAACTGTTTAACGATATGGGCATCAATAATAATCATTGCATCACGCGTCTCTGCGGCGCTCTCCTCGTTTATTTTATGTGTGTACAACTTTTGTTCTCCGATGACTTGTTGGTATCGCGACGATACGATGGATCGTTATGGAAAGTTTACCGGAAATCGGTATAGGGATTGCGAAAGACCTATGGAGATGTGAAAAAAGTTTTCTCGACGAATCGAGCGCTCCTGTAATGCTCATCTAGAATTTATTGTTTAACGCATCGTTAGGCCATGACTAAGTATAGGTGTACCGAGCTGTTTCTTTCGGTGGGGTAACTTTGCCCTATAATTGCTGAAAATTTTCAAAATTCACTAAAAAATCGGGGTACAAAAAAAGGCAAAATACATTTTTACAAATTAATGGCATCATCTATGGGATGGACAAGAGCTGGTACTGATTCAGAGCACGTTCTTTTTTTTTTCCTCCGTCTTTCAAGTATCGTTAGAGCGGGATCATTTGTCCGAAGATGATGACATTCTTGCACCATATCCAAATACAAAAGGGAACAATTTGCATAGCTGATCCTTTTGGCTGTCGTACTAAAACCGGAGACACACGATACACATCGCGTGCACGCAATAATTGCCATTGACCTGATCTTGATACGAGTAATTATCCCTCCCTCTTTCGAACGAATTATAGTTGGCAAACCATTGCGTACAGTATACGTAATTTAGGCAAAGTCATCGCAAACGGGAGGCTTTCGAGCAGTAAAAAATTTTTTCCATTGTACTGCAGTTATTGTTCACCAAATGTTAGTGTACACATGTATATATACTATATATACACATATGAATTATTGCACAGAGAGAGAAATTTTTAATGATCGGATTATACGAGCGTCCGGAAGATAATGGTCTCTTGGAACAGAAAATTTCCGCCGTTACATCGAAGAACAAACAAAAGTCATTATTCGCTCTATCGAACGACAAGCTTTGTTTTACAAGGAGGAGACAAAAAAGACGATAACACGGTGGGTCCAAGCCGATCATCTCTGTACAGAGTATCCCTTCTATAAAAAAATCGCGAATTCAGAGCTGACCATACATTATACGTAGACGAGTTTAAGAAATGGGTTAATAGTATACGCATGTGGAAGCACACACATCCACAGTCGTTCTGGGTGGTGATGCTGGTTATTATACATATACCACCGTCGTCGGACTCTTTGACAATGGAGTGAGATGAAATGGGACGAAGAGTAGGAGGTGGTGTATACATGTACGTATATAGGAGGGAAGCGAGGGTCAATTGCTTATTAACTCTGCGACATCACAGTTGTACATGTGTGTAGGTACAACCTATATGGACGATGAAAAACGCTTCGGTCAAAACGCGCCAGAGAGAGAAAGAGACGGAGGGAGGCCTTTTAAACTTCTAACCGTTATCGGAAGTCACTCTTGCCATGCTTTTGCCTCCCGAGCTTGACATTGCGCTCAACGCCCGAGTTTATACTCTCAAGGCTGTACGGTGGTATAAGAAATAATTGCGGGCCGTTTTTTTTTTTTTTTTTTTTTTTTTTTTTAATTCTTTCTCGTTTTCTTGCACTCAACTTGTTCGCATATATTTATTGAGTTTTATCGGATATCGTTTTTTTTTATAATTACTTTTTTTTTACAGTCGCGAAAAACTGCGCGTCTAGAATTTACGTTGTGGATTTGCGATTTTTGTGTATTAATCATTGGAGGAGTCAAGGTGTGGAATGGAAATTAAGCTTAAATGCACTTGTTTCCCAAATTATTATTACCTAGTATCTGAATAACCGATTAATAATGATAGAAAACGTAAACATTTTATTATTATCACCCGATGACGTTTAAGCCTACGGGTGATCTTAAATCCATTCAACAATCAATTATCTAATCTCGACACTTTTTAAAAATACGCTGGCGGTTAGTCATCCGCATCGGACTCATTAAACACACGTCTTGCACGTATACATATCATACGTATTTCTATGCATGGTAATTTTTGAAAATGCGTATTTTAAAATATGACCGAACCAGCTAAATTTTTCGCCAATTCAATTAAACGTAATATAATATTAAAAAAAAAAAAAAAAAAAACAATACATAGAATAGATAAAATAAATCATGAAAAGATAATGGAAAATTCTCAATAGACCTTTTACGTAATACTTTACATTGTTGTACCGCAACAAAAATCGTTATTAGATCTGTACCGTATGGACTTTTTTAGAAACGCGCTTTGGTAAAATATTCGCACGAGACTACCGATTTCAACTTCGACTCGCATACAGCACTGAGCTAATATTTGTTTAGAACGTTAGTATGGAACAACGTGTAACAAGCCATGATCCCTCCATCATCTTACGAAATACTTTTCTTTTTTTTTCAAACACGTTACCGTGGTAAAAGTGCCATTAAAGCCTTTAGTTATTCTCGTTACAAAATAACCAAAACTACCGTAAAACCACACTCCCCCAATCGAGCTCTCGTATACGCGCTCCAAAAGTTCCGCTCAAAACGATTAAAACAATGACCCCTCCTGTCGCTCTAAAATTTCACCGGTAACTTTTTGCACTCGACCAACCGACACATCAGAAACCAAAAATCTGTTTTCACAATAGGTGAGAGTGCACGAGCGCACACAAAAGCCCACATCGCGGAAAAGTCGTACCTCGGATCGGTGCTCGTGTTGGCAGCAGTAGCGCCCTTAAGCAAACCGTTGGGGTAGAGATCGGCGGCCATGTCGGCCCTGTAGTACTGACAGCGCTCGCCCCGGACCATTCGGCCTTTTTTCCTCGACGTCTATGGACTACACCCTCGAGCTTCGCTCCTGTATAGGCAGGAAAAAACGATCACTGCGCGCGATGTGACCCGAACAAAAGTACCCGATCGGCGGAAGTGAAGCACCGTCATCTTGTGTACAGGAACATTCGAGGGATCGGCAGAACTCGAATCTGGCCGGAAATGATCCCTACCGAGGTACTCTCTTCCTCGTTGCGAGGGTGTTTCCAAAGTTCGCTCAACGCACGTGTAGACACGAACTGGTCGACGACACGCACTGGGACAACGTAGTACAATACAATTCGATAAAATCCGACGGATTTTAGAAAAATTAGATCGGCGTACAGATTAAGTATATACCGCGCGGCGGTTCTCCGGCTCGCGACTACTGGCCTGTCCGCGGCGCGTCGTTTTACGGTACGTATATATGTAATACAAACTAAAGCTCGCTCTCTTCCTTTCTCTCGTTGGCCGGGTCTCTCGGCCGGCCGTGCAGTCATATATATCCCCCTCGGTCTCGTCAATTGAATAACGACAGTTTGCTCGTTTTGTCTCGCTCGCTCGTGCGGCACATATACATAATCCCTCTGTGCTGTTTTTGCTGCTGCTGCTACGTCGTAGGAGGAGGACTGCAGGCGGTGTGTAGTATTATTGAGGTAATGCGCGAGTAAAGTGGATGCGTAATGTTGTACACGTATGTATACAGCGTCGACGCGATGACAGTGGCTGGAGAACGAGTCAGAGAGCTTTTATGCTGTTTTTTTTTTTTTTCTTCTTTTTTCACTTGAGTTCATACACCTTTTTCCCCACTTTATGTATAAGTTATTATCTGGAAATCGGCAATCTGCTTGTGATTAGGTTCGTCCTGAAAAACATAAGTAAAACATGCCAAATTTTCGTTTCAAGGTATTTTGTTGTTCTAAAAGACACGGAACCTAAATAAATTTCAAACTAACGTTGTAGGATGTAAGGATACGCGTGTACGTGTACGACATGGAAGGTTACAGCAGTTGAAATCAAGTCACGGGAGAGAATCGAGCAACGAGAGTCACGAGATTTCGTTTGCCGGCTCATGTGCGCGGGTGTGACGTTGGAAAAAATTGATCATGCACGCGCGCGATCGGCTATACGTATGCATCTATTTTACACGAGTGCATGTAAGGTTTCAATTGAAACGAAAAAAACGAGGGGAAATCTAAAAGCTGCGTATTACATTCAGCGCGTGCGTCAATAAGAAAATCGATAAAAAAAAAAAAAACCTTTGGTACTCCAATGATCCATAGATCATTTTTGAATGCTTGACTTCGGCATACGGTATACGCATTAATACCTTCCCTGTTATCATTTTCAAGTTGCTCGTTAGCTGTACAAAGGAGCAAAGAATAGGGAGGAACAGCGCGTGCTCGCAATTAACGAAAAGTACACTTGAGGCAACGATTACACGCAATCGCTAGAGCCCCCCTTGAGTGCCAATCCACCTACGTACCTATTTGTTACTACAAGCGTGTATACCTATCACACACACACCACGTCGCACGACCAATTAAGCTTTGGATGCTCTGGAATTTTTTCCCTCATTTATACCAAGTGCATTGGTTAATTTCCATCAAACTGACCGATGAAATGGAACTTGTGCTTCTCCTTAGTTTTCGTGGAAACTCATGCTTAAAAACTGAAATTTATGCTCCAGAAGTCATGAAATTTGTATGTGCTCTTAGAATATGAAAAACTAAAGCTCTTTTCGAAAGTAGAAGATAACTTATGTCTCATCAGGCTCAATTGGATATTAGAGTAAATTTTGCATAAATAAAACGTTACATGTATGGTAATCAATCATTTTCACTGCAATAAACGTATAATAAGATGAATAAACAACTTCACTTCAATACAATGATGAAAAAATGAGTAATCAATTGCGATTTGACTACGAAAACCGTTGGATATCGTTTGAGGATGGTAACGGATGGTGGCCCGCAGAGTCTCAACTTGTGATTTTTGGATAAAAGTGCCAAAATAAGGCCAAAATTTGGCCAAAAATTCAAAAATGCATCGGCCGGGAATCGAACCCGGGCCGCCCGCGTGGCAGGCGAGCATTCTACCACTGAACCACCGATGCTTGAAAATCTGGGCACTAAATCTTCTTCATAATCATCCGTTTTTACTTTTTTCATACAAAATTTTCAACTTTTTTGACAAAATTTTTTCCACTTTAAATTTACCCCCTTCTTACTTTTCAAGATACAAAGCTATAAAACATCCGAATTTATTCGTTCACAAACATCAATACATTTAGCATAACTAGCCAGAGGAATGTGTAGCGATCCCCTATACTCTACGCCATACAAAGTCAGGCAGTGCAAGTGGGGGAAAAGAGAGAAGCTTTTGTATTATCATCGTTGGGTACTCCGAAATTCTCTTCCGTTCTGATGTAGGTAAACATGTTCTCTGAAAACCAATACATGACCGATTTTTGACCGTTTTAGCATAAAAGTTAAAAATTGCTACAATCGATCATGAATCAAGTTTTTTTAAGAAAATTAAATGTTCATAATTTGTTGGCACTACACGGCTGAAAAGCAGTAACATTTAATTTTAATTGTGCTACCGGTTATTGCGATCGAGGTCGAAGAACACAAAAGATCGGATGTATAAAAACTCATGTACCATATAGGCACTAGGGAGAGTTGGTGCATGCGATAGATGAGGCGAGCTGCAGGCAGTGACCTTGCCGAATAAACAGAGAGCGACGACAGCGAGAAGGGCCTGCTTCGAGAGACCATTATTTTCTATTGCATTCAATCGGCCTCGCTCGAAAATTTTAATACACGCTTACGCAAGGACGATTTTGCGCGCGTTGCACTTTTCAATGTGCTTGTTATTATTATAACATTAGGTACAACTATTATTGGGACTCTTGTTGAAGAAGCGAAATCCAGAGCGTTGATTCGAGCTACTTGATTTTTATATCTCGTTGGGATTGACGTGATTTTCGACGTTGATGAGACGCGAAGGTGACAAAACCGGACTGAGCTCGTGAAATTCTTGATTACCAGAGCTACTTATACTTATTTATCGAACGAAAACGCAGTAAGATGTGACACAATGTATGAACGTGCGCTTCTTTTAGGTCAGCGAATTGATGCTCTTGAACTGGCTGGCTAATGGCTCAAAAACGGCTGTTCTACCCTGGTTGCGACAGCAGCAGCAAGAACGTTTTTACGTGGATTCTGGACTATCTGACGAATCGTTCGAGAACAATGCTGTTGTTGGCGCACAACCAAAGCTTTTTCTGACGGAAGATGAGCCGTACGATGAAGACAACGATGACCAACAGACGAACACAAATGAACAGGATAAGGAGCACTTGTATAGGAGTAATCGAAGTTTGATGCCGGTACGTATCACACTTGATCATAAAAAGTTATACATTTTCATATTAACATGTTCCGTACGTATCAAGGAATACCATAGTTTGTGCGAAACAGTGACGCGCAAAGTAGAGCTCAAAGATGACCCGAATTACGAGTACCAGCCACCTCACTACCATGAAGTGTATTGCAAAAGCTATTCACTCATGGATGACGAACCACTGAAAGCCATTGTACCTTCAAAACAAGTAAACAAAAAAAATAATAAAAAAATAAAAAAAATTGCTTGAATAAATGATGATAAAAATAATAATTTGAAAAACGGTATTTGTACAGAAATGTGCCCATCCCAGTTTCCATTGCGTACAGAGAAGCCGTACACTCTTCATAGTCAGACGACGTTGGGATGGTGATTGCTGGGAGCCTACGACGAAGGTTGTAGCAAGTGGATGTGATTGCATGTGGCCAGTCTCGACTCTTGGTGATGTCTCCATCCACTACTGATCTCCTCACGTACAATTAAAACACCTATGCAGTACTAAAACCCGCACTTAGCTTGCAACAAATGAAAGATCAAGCTGATAATAATGTGATCAATCTACTATCAAAGTTGATGTAATTTAATTTATGTAATGTATATACACAATTCTTTTATTATTGTTCTGTTCATCGATATCAATTCTGCTCATCAATTCCAAGAGTTGGCTTTGTGTTTGGGAAGAAAATTAAAGCCTTCTGGAACTTTTCCAAGCAACATTTCTCTGCAGAAATAAATCTGTGTTTAGATGCATATTTTTTCTTTTATTTTTAAGGGAGAAAAACTATGTATAAAATAAACATACGAGATTTTGATCCAGTCAGCACAATTGGAACTGGCCATGAGAGTTTCCAGCTCGTCTCGGCCCCGGTAATAAGGTGGCCTATTATTCATCCTCTGAGGTGGATGTACCAGAATTCCAACTGGAACGTACCTAAATTTATTGAAATTAATTAAAAAATTCCGTTGTAAAAATTAAAAATGATAACTGCTATTATGATGCATGATTGTTTAAATGTACCTGTATAAGAAAGAAATCCACTCTAGCATAAATCTTCTTGTAGTCTCAACTCCACGAGTATCAGATCCCCAGTGTTCTAGACCATACCTCGTGTACCTTTTGAGGATTTCAAACCTCTCAGAAGAGGAAATATCGATAAGCTTCTGTTCTTTTATTTCCTGGAATATCCAGGGTTTTATAAGAGCCCCACGGCCTATGCTCACACCCTGAACTGTTTTGTACGTTGACCGTATCCTTTGATAATCATCGTAAGACAAAATGTCACCGGTACCATAGACCGGCATTGGCTCTGCAGCTTTGGCACACTTTTCAATGTAATCCCAATTGGCAAGTTTCGTATACCTCTGCTCCCGCGATCTGCCATGAATCTGTAGAAAAATTTCATTACCTTTTAAATAACGAAAATCGCTACCCTAACGATGTTGAAAACAAATTATAGCTAACATTTATCATAGCTGCTCCCCATTCCTTAAATTTGGGCATCAATTTATGAGTTATTGGCTTGTCCGCGTAGACTCCTGTCCTTGTCTTAACTGTAAATGGAATGTTCAGTACCTCCGAAGCAGATTTAACTGCAGACTCTAATATACTCGTCCTATTTAACAAGCCACAGCCAGCTCCTTGTCTGTATATAAGATCGATAGGGCAGCCAACATTCAAATCGATAAAATCCACCTCAGTCTCATCGCTCAACACCTGACAACACCTGGCAAGAACACCAGGATTGTTACCAGCGATTTGAACACCAAAAACATCCTCAGATTCGTGCCTTTTTACCAAGGCCCATTCTTCCCTAATGCCTTTTAGAAGCTTAGGTGCCAGAGCCATTTCTCCACAAGTTATGTCAGCTCCGAATTCCTTACATATCCTACGGAAGGGCAAATTGCCTACTGTAGTAAGTGGAGCTAGCATTACTTTGTCTTTCCAATCGATTGTTTTTTTCTCCTGGAGCCTTAATTTTATTTCATCGGTATCTAAAACGGGGCCAATTTTTTCTTGGTTTTTATTGGGACTTATTTTTACTCCTGATTTGTCAAATATCTCGCTAGACTTCTAGGAAAAAAATATTATTACTTTGATATGAAGCGATTATTTTTTTCATACAGTAAAAATATATCCATGTAAGTTTCAGCCTTACCCAGTTATACTTCGTGACAATGTTCTCAGCTCTAGCAAAATCGTATTGATATTTTTTCAACTTTTCCAAAACTATCTTATCTATTTTGTTTTTGACTGGGGGTGAAAGCTTCTCAAAAGCTTCATATTTATCATGATCAATGATATTGAAACCATCAGTTGAGATATGCTTTGAACCTAATCTGCATGCCAAGCCCCTTGGACACTTGCCCGTGAGTTTAAAAAGAGGACACTCGGTACCAATGTCTTCCGGCTTAATTTTCAAGAATTCACTTCTGTCGTGTATAAAAGCACATTTTTCATAATTGCACTTGTTATCTGCTAGTTCAGCTGTCAAATCTGCTAACCAGGGACAAAAGTTGTGTTCGCGCAAGGTCTTGAAAGGTACAGATCTACCTTTGTTCTGTCCACGAGGCTTATCTTTCCTCCTGTTTCCTCTGGCTTTTTTCTTTGCTGGCTCACCATCCGAATTATCACTGGGATCACTTTTTTCATTACTATTTTCTTTTTCCTTTGAGCCATCATTTTCAGTTCTCACACTGACTTCAATTATAAAACTGTAAAATACAAAAGAGTAAAAGGGTAAGTATTCATTTTTTGTGATCAACGTGTATTCATGAAAATATCAATTATTCATAAAAAAAAAAAATTTGCACCAGAGTGTTTTAAGACGATTTTTGAGGTTAGAATCTGTTAATCTCCATTTACTAATTGAAAATACAAAAATTATTTTACTTACTCTGGTTTGATTAAGCATATTCCAGTTCTCTTGTCTTCCTTTTTATTACTCACAACTGTCTCATTCTTATTTTCTTCCGAATCTACCATTATTTTTACACCACAGGTTAATCAAGAAAGAACAAAAAACCGAAAATGCCGACAAGAGCCAACTTGCCTCGCGTCTGCGGCGGCTGCTGCAAGCAGTGTATGCATATATATTTGTCACGTGATTGGCTAACTTGTCAAAAACAAACAAAAACTCAAACTCAAATAAAATATTAGTTTATTAATCGTAACACTTTATGAAATATATCAGTACAGTAATTTTATATTTAAGTATGTAAGAAAGTGTTAATATTTCTCTATTTGTCTCAAAATTGTTTATTAGCAGATTTTTGAAACAACAGTCATTTGTCAATATGACAAATTATGAAAAATTGTTCGAAACTTTTAATTAACAGTATTATATAAAAAAATGTTCAGTATCAGCAAAAAGTTTTCATTTAAACAATCATCTCCAATTCCCTTGCGTAATCAATGGCAAGAGTGACCAGCTCTGCACTTGGTATGGGCTCCTCAATTTTCTTTTCGGCTGGCTCCCCAAAGTACAAGTACCCATCCTTGGCTACATTCCACTTCTTTTTAGTACAAAACTGCAGCACTTCCTTTTCTGTATTCAAATTCAACATACGCGCGGCATCTTTGATTGAAATTTTATCGTAAGCGTTTTCCATACAGGCTCCAATTTCATCCCTGACGGTATTCAGAAGAATATCAATGAAAAAGTTGTAAGACGCAGCAGGTACGTTTCCCTTGGCAAGGAAGATTTTATTGTACGAGCCTTCCATTAAGCACTGCTCCAGGCTAAGCGGATGTCTAATGTAGATGTTTGTTTGAATGCATTCTACAGGAAGGAGCTCTAGCTCAGTGTGGAATTCAGCCACTCTGTTTTGTGACAGGAGGAATAAGAGATTAAGTCCCAAAAGTTGATATTTGTATGGTGACTCTGGCAGACCGGACTTGTAGTCAAAGTAATAACTTTTTAGTTGTGCCATGTAACGTTCGAACGAAGGAATATCCTCACTAGCGATGCTCCATTGGGCTCCAATCTCAAGAACTTCTCCTTTAAAAAAAAAAAAATTAAAACTCATCATTTAATTGAACAAAATTTTAAAATGACGTTTGAGACTTACTGGCAATTAGCAGTTCTTTTTCAGAAGCTGTAGCATCTTTGGTTGGTAGAAAAGTTAGAGTCGTGAGAGCAACCTACAAAGATAGTTATAGTGTTCAATAAATATTAAAAATACTTTACTAAGTAAGTGACTCAAGAATAAACATGAAGATTCTGTTGATGAAATTATTAAATTTGTCAACACTTCAACATTTTCATGCAAGCAAAACATTGAATTGATTGGCATGACAGTACAGTTTTGACAAAAATAAAGTAAGGTTATCATTTGGTAAACACACTTTTTTTTTTTAATGGCAAGATGGTAAATAAAAAAATTCAAAGCGAACCTTGAGTTGTGTCAGGAGTTCCCCACATTTTTTGAGATTGCACGGAGCTTTGCCCCATTCTTGTTTCAAAAGTTGCACTTTACTAAGCACGTCCTGGAGGCCAGCCATATCCGCCGTGTCGTGATTCGTGATGTATGTTTATATATATATATGTAAGTTTTAAAAAGCACACCTCTGACGTGACGGCCACTGCAGAAGACACGAAAGTGATGAAAGAGACGCAAACGTGATTCGTGAGTCGTGAGGTGTGATTCTGCAGCAGCAATATATATTATGTTAAAAATTACAATAGTATGACATATATACCGACGTATACACGTGAAGTTCTCTAATTTTGGAGTTAGTGATTTCGCATAGGTATAATACTATATTTTTGTGTTCAGCTCGAGCTAGGGCTTTGCACTCCACGGGTATGTCGATTCACGGCAATTCTAACCTGTTTCTATTAAAATGTAGATAAGTATTTTTGATACAAAAAGAGCGTGTGTGCGTTATTATTCTAGAGGATAGTTTTTTCTCACGTGCCGGTACTGTTTGCACAATTATTTTTTTGCACGAATGAACCTGAAGATTTTACATTTTTGGCCCAACGAGTGATATCGTTGTTAATTAATCAAACATGAAAATCAATGTTAAGGTACTTATGGGTGAAGAACACATCTTTGAAGTGAGTCTTGTTAATCATACACCTTTTTTAACCAACATATTTTTGAATGGTACTTTGAAAATTTATTTTTTGACTTTGTATGTAGATCAAGCCATCTGACACAGTGCTGGAAGTGAAACAAAAAATTCACGATAAGCTGGGCATCGAAGTAGCTCATCAAGTTTTATTACTCTTAGGCAAAGCACTAGCAGGTAATACAATCAAACGTAATTCTAGATGTTTCATCACTACAGTTATCGCTCAGTTCTATTGATTTCTTGACAATTGTGTAGCTATACTGGTTAGTTTTAAAAACATATTTTAGTAATTAATTTTTTAAAATTTCAGATGAAAATACAGTAGATTTTTACCCAGGAATCAGAGACGGATCTAAATTAGTTCTTGTAAAAAAGACTCCGCAATCTCCTTCACAAAGTAAAAATGGCATTTATAAGTTTAAAGAAGAAATGATAAAAGTACTTCGAGTTTATTACTCAGATGATGATGCCTTGACGATAGCAAATGAAGTAATTAAAGACCTGAAAACGAAAGTTAATCAGCTGAATTTTGATGATTTGGAGAGGTTAGCGACGGCAATAGAACAAGAACGTTAAAAAAAAAAAAGTTTATTTGTTACTAATCAGTGTAATATTACCTTTATTTTCTAATTTAGCATATAAATATCTCATGTATTTATAAAGCAGAGGACAGATTTTTAAAATGGTTTACTGTAATAGAGATAAAAGACAAACCTTAGAAGTATAAAAATATTTATTTTTATCACGATTATAAATTATTTATTACAAAAAATTACAGTAGATTTTTTAACAGACAATAATAATTATGAATCTGCTAAGTCTAATTGTCTGAAATATCTAGCAACTAGGCAGATGAATAAATTTAGCGGCATGGCATCCTTTTCATTTAAAGAATCCTGAAACAAAAATAATCATGCAAACATTTTTTATGTGTAATCAATTTCTGATAACAGGGAGCTGTAGTGTCATGTACTTCTTAAATATTCGTTTTGCTACTTGAACTTTCATAAGGTCTTGAAATTTTCTTTACATACTCAAAAAATAAAAAATATATAGAATGGATGAATTTTTTAAAACACCTATATTGTATACATATATATATATATATCTATTTATGTGTATATGTATATATATTTTGTACACATGAGAGCATTGTAAAAAAATGAGTGATTACTAAAAAAAAAGTGTGCTTTATGTGATTGATAAAAATTGTGAAGGTATCTCGAATGTACCACTGAAACTCTAACTAATTAAATAAATACATAACTTACCAAGCGAGATCTTATCACTGAACATATCCTTGCCAAAGTCCTCAAACATGAACACATATCTGGATTCAGTGGTAATTCCAAGGCAGCTAGAAGTGCATACAACCATCTACCTAAGTGAAGCGAAATAGATGCTTGACTTTCTAAAAATTCAGTGAGATACTTCAAAACTCGCTCTATTGTTGGCTGTTTCAATGATAAAATTACTGTAAGATTGGGTTCATGCTTTTCATCCGAAATCGTACACATATCCATCCAACTTTTCCGATTTTCTCCATTTGTCTGAAAATAATGCAAAATTGACAAAGTAAAAATAGAAAACATTTTAAGTCTAATAAAATTACTAATTTACTTTTAGTTTATTTATTTCGTTCCATTTGTCTTTGTTTTTATCAGTTTGATTTTTAAACTGCATAATGTAAAGTCTTATGCTTGAAAAATCTGCAATCTGACTTTGCTGCCATTCTAGTGTTGGACTCACAGATTCCGGTGCTTTTTCACACTCAGTGGTAATTAGCTGGATTTGATTAAGAAAAATTCTTGAATTAAAAAAGTAAGCATGTAAACATATAAATATTATTTAAATAAAGACCTACTGGTTTAACATTCGATATGGGTTTTCTCAGCCTCGCATTATCAACTTTTGCAATCAAAACGTCATCATACTGCCTAGCCTCAAGCCTGTAATACCAAATACCATTCAAAACATTTCACATTCAATAAAAATTTTGCTAGTTTATTATGAGAAAAACTTACACAACTCTTTTTATGTATTCTTCTCCGTCAGCAGGCGGTAATGACAAGTTTATGTCTTCTTCGATTTCTCCAACAACAAATTCTGGCCTCTTCCAAATGCGTCCTGTCATTTTTTCTTTTAATAAGTTTTT